ACAAGTGGTAACCAGCAATATATACTTTCCCACCCTCCACTCTTCTTCACCCCCACTTAGCCTCCTCTGCCTCCTGCGGCCACAGTCCCTTGGCCGGGAAGAAACAGCTTCAGCCCGGTGTCACTTGGATTCCACCTGCCCACACTGGCCGGCTCCCTGAGTGCCTTCTGTTGGATGCTGGTGTCACATTTTTCAACTTCTCTAGATTTCTTCCTTACCTCTCACCACCTCCCCCTCCATTCTCTCAAATACCTGGCTCCATGCGCCATCTTTGCTTCTTCCTGAAAGGCTGAAAAACACTGCTTGACTGTGAAACTGCTTCCCAGCCGGTGCCGCCACGCTGGTGGGACCCCCGGGGCTTTTTTATTTGTTTGCTCTGATTTGTTCTGTTTTGATTTGTTTGTTTGTTTTCTTTTTCTTTTCTCTGCTTGGGAGCCCCTTCTAGCCGGGCAGTACTGTGCATCTTGGAAGCTACTCCCTTACTCTGCGCAGATGCACAGGGACATCCGTGAGAGCATTTCTTTTTTCTTGTTTATTTTTTTGTTTGTTTTGTTTTGTTTCTTTGTTTTATTTTCCTCTCTTATTCCCTTTTTGTCTTTCTTCATTTCCAGTTTCTTGATTTATTCATTTTTTTCTTTTACCCTTTCTCTTTTTTTTCATTTTTGTTTTTCCCCATTTCTCACTCTCTCATCTCTCCACTCCAACAGCAAGCTCCCTTAGCACTCTTTTTAGTTTGTGTGTATGTTTTTGGCTCCTGCTCCTCTCTCCTCTCTCTCCTCTTTCCCATACCCATCTTAGATTCACACATCAAAATCTACTCCCTCCTTCCTACCTACCTGCAGGGTGTGCTGAACATCACACTCCCAAGCAGCACCAGCACGGCATACTGGAACCTGCCCTACACTGATTCCCAGTCCACCTTGTCAGTCCTGGTACGTGCTACAAACAACCCATCCCAGCAACTCCCCTTCAGCTGGATCTGCCCTGCTGTACCATACCTCAGTGACTGACCCTGCCCATTGGAGAAGGAGGTGAAAAGTATCATGCCCACAGATCAGCACACAACAAAGAACGCACAGCCCGCCTGCTCAGATATAAACAAAACAAAAAAGCAGGTCATAACAAACAAATCCACAATTAACAAAGGAGGAAAATAACCACTGAATGCCCTGAAGACAGCAGACAATACCAAACATTTATAACAACAGGACAGGATGGTTCCAGTAGGCATGCAAAATAAAACACCAGATGACCTTCCAGTAGAAGAAAAGGCACTAGACCTAACTAATAGGGAATTCAAATCTCTAATATTCAGAATTATCCAAGAGTTGAAGCAAAAAGCAGATAAAAATGAGGAAAAAGTAGACAAATTCATGGAAAAGGCAGAAAAATTCATGGAAAGTACAGACCAAAAAAATGGAAGTATTCAAGAAAATAATACAGGAACAAAATGCTAAAATAAACTGACAACTAGAAATCATACAAAAACAACAATTAGAAATCCAAAACATAAACTACAAGATTTCAGAAATGGACAGTGTCACAGAAGGGCTGAGGAGCAGGTTTGAAACAATGGAAGACAGGATCAGTGAAATTGAAGACAAACACTAGGATACAACTCTGTTGGAGGAAAAATCAAAAAAAGAATGAAGAAAAATGAAGAAACCCTGAGAATTATGAGGGATACAATCAAAAGCAAATATCTGCAAGTGATCGGAGTTCCAGAACAGGGAGAGAAAACAGGAAACACAGAGAGGATCATTGAAGAACTGCTGACAGAAAACTTCCTCAATATCATGAAAGATGAAAAGCTGACCATCCAAGAAGCTCAACAAACCCCATATAGGATAGAACCCAAAAGAAAATAACTAAGGCATATCATAATCACACTCGATAAAACCAAAGACAAAGAATCCTGAGAGCAGATCGAGAAAAACAAAAAGTCACATACAGAGGAGAAACAATAAGACTAAGCTCAGATTATTCGGCAGAAACCATGCACGAAAGAAGACAATGGGATGACAAATATAAAACCTTCAAAGAGAAAAACTGCCAGCCAAGAATAATATATCCTGCAAAACTCTCATTCAAATATGATGGTGAAATTAGGTCATTTCCAGATAAACAGAAATTAAG